TCTCTCTCTCTCTCTCTCTCTCTCTCTCTCTCTCTCTCTCTCTCTCTCTTTCTCTCTCTTTCTGTATGTTTTACTTTACTGCTTCCTCCAGTGCCTGGGGCTGCCTGGCTTCTGGTTTTTGGCCCTGGGCAAGCCCTTCCCTTTCTCCTTTTTTATCTTCTTTTTTCTTCTTTCCTGAGCCTAGATTCCTCCTCCTACTTATTCACTCTGCCCATCAGGCCCACCTATCTTTTCTCTGACTAGCTATTGGCTGTTCATCTCTTTATTAGCCCAATCAGCTGCCTTACGCAGGCAAGGGGAAACAAAGTCAACTCACTTTTACATAATTAAACAAATGCAGCACAAACAAACGTAACACGTCTTTACACAGTTAATCTTCCATAGCAGAAACAAATGTAGCACATCTTGGCCTAGTTAAAGTTATATTCCACAACAACCTCACGTAATTTCCATGCACCCAGATTTGGAGTCAAAGGACTAACTCCAACAGCTCCTCCCTCAAAAGTCCCAGCAGGCCTCCATCACAGAGTACTCCTTTCCTTCAAACTGCAATAGTGCACACTTGCATGCACACGAAGGTTCAACCAGAGGTTTATTTATGCTTATGTCCTTCCTCCACCAGAGACCCTGCATCTTTACAGGTCTCATTTGATCAAGCTAGGAAAAGAACAGGGCTAGGATTTTAGCGTGGTATTCCTGCTTCCCGGTCAGCTGGGGCAGAGAAGTAACTTTTAAAACCCCCATATTCTGGTGGCGCACGCCTATAATTCCAGCACTCAGCAGGCAGAGGCAGGTAGATCTCTGAGTTTGAGACTTCCTGGTCTACAGAGACAGTTCCAGGACAAACAGAACTACACAGAGAAATTCTGTCTCAAAAAAACAATATAACAACGATGATGTGGTGGCGGCGGCGATAAAAGTACGGTGTTGTTCTGGGGAATTGGAGATAAGAGGAAGTGATACTTTAAAGGGCATAGTGATGGCTCAACAGATGGTGGGAAGGGGAAACTGAGGCCAAAATGTAAATGACTTTCCCCAAATGAAACACCACACTGCGAGCAGTATTCGCAACTATAGGCCAGTCCCAGACTCTATTCGCTGGGAATGCTGCTTTGGTTGGCTCTGAATTCTTCTCCAGGTTCCTGATTTTCCTACGCCACTCCACCCCACTCCCCCACGTCAAGCCCGGAGCCATTTCTCCAACGCAGATACTGGGCAAGAGAGCCTCTTTAAAGGCGCCTCTTTAAAGGGGAGGGGGCGTGGCCACGAGCGGGGCGGGGCTCAGGCTTGCGGTCGCGGGCGGATGACGTGACCCGGCGCGCCGGCTTCTGTCAGCGCTGGTAGCGGCATGTTGGTCAGCGGGCGGCTGACAGGGGCGCGAGCCCGGGCGCCTCTGCATGCGGGTCTCCTCGAGACTTGGCTCCGCCGCGGGCGGACCGCGTCCTCCTACTCCGCTTCCTCTGAGCCGTCCAAGGTGCGGGCGCTGATCTATGGCAACCACGGGGATCCGGCCAAGGTCATCCAGTAAGAGTCGGCGCCGACGCCGGGCGGGGAGCTGGGGGTCCCTGGAGGGTTTTAAGGCGGGCGGCGGACCGCGAGGAGAGGACAGGGTCCGAGGAAGCGGACGCCGCCGTCCGACAGACGCCGAAGCCCAGCGCGCGCTCGCTAACTCGACTCCGGTGCTTCCTGGCGGCGGAAGACCCGCGAAGCACAGGTGCAAGATCGAAGGGCGACGCTCGTTGATCGATGTTGTTCGAGGATTGTGGCAGGCACTCCTTTGTCTAGGGGGATGCTTTCGATGGCTTGTCAAGGCAACGCTCGTCGGGGGGTGGTTATTGGATGTGTTCCCATTGTGCAGATGAGAAAACCGGGGCATACGAAAGTTAAAACCACTTGCCCAGAGTCACCCAGCCAGTGAGAATCGGAATTTGAACATATGGGCTCCCTAAGTTCTACTCCTTTGTTGATTTATATTTCAGAGGAAGAGACCAGAGTAATTTTACATCTATTTGGGTCGTCAGTTTTGAGTTAAACAGGCAATATTTTATTGTTTCGGTTTCACAGAGCTCGCAGGACTTGTCCAAAGTGATACAGTTACTTAGTGATTGGAATAGGGACTGGAATTCACCTCTGGCCCCCTTTGTGGGTTTCCTTCCACCACACCACGGATGTATCTTGACGTAGTTACAAGTTGTTTAAACCGGCTTGTTGGCGAGCACCTTTAATCCCAGCAAGCTGGAGGTAAAGGCAGGCAGGCAGATCTCTGTGAGTTCAAGGCCAGCTTCGTCTATGTGTTGAGTTCCAGGATAGCCAGGACTGTAGAGACCCTGTCTCAAAACAATCAAACAAAAGCGAGTTGTTTGATAACCCCAGCATGCTGAGGGAAGAGGGTTGTGAGTTTGAGACCAGCATGGGCTCTGTAATGAGCCTTTGTCTCAAAACACACAGAGAGAGCAAAATACATAAAAGATTTTAAAGACCCAAATACAATTTAGGGGCGGTATATGATGGTGCATGCCTGTAGCCCCAGCACTGGCTGAGGTAGGAAGATGGTGAATTTGAGGCCAGTATGGACTACATATTGAAACCCTGCCTCAAAAACAAAAGACAAAAATTTGGTGTTTGCCAACATGCATCTTCTTAATATTGTTTTCTCTCTCCTTCTCTAGGTCCCCCTGGCTAGTCCTGGCTAGCCTGGAACTGGCCAAGTAGACTTGGCTGACCTGGAGTTTATAGTGATTCTCTTACCTCAGCCCACTGCCACCCAAATGCTGGAGTTAAAAGTGTGCCACTCCAAGTCCCATTTAAAAAAAAAAAAAGTCTGGCCTCTAACTGCCAGTGCCAGGATTACAGAAGTGTTTGTTCTCCATTGCTCCTGCTCCTCTTCCTTCTCTCCCACCTCAGACAAGGTGTCCCTGTGTTTCCCAGGTTGGCCTGGAACTTGTTTTCTTGCCTCAGCTCCTCAAGGAGTTGAAATTACTGGTTGACCTTTCTTTGAAATTGCTCTAAAGGCGGGTGTGGCCAGTACACAACCTTGAGTCTCCTCTCTGCCTTTCAAAGCACCTAGCCTGTAGCCTGTACTTACACCAGCACAGCTGTACATTTGCTGTGAACCAAGGAGTTACGAAGGCACCGCAGGGGAGTCTCATTCTTAGCTGATTAGTGCTGTGTGCTGTGTTTGTGAAGTGGCCCAGAGAACTAAGTGAACTTGCTAAACACACAGCTAAGCCAAGTGAGGACAAAGAGCTGCCTCCGAGAACCCTAATTTCCAGATTGGGGCTTTCACTTTCACCCTGCTTCAGGCAGCCTTCACAGCTCTTTAGACTGACAAGTTACATATAGATTTATTTGTTGGTAATCCGTATGTAAAAATTATGAATTACGATCCAGCAGAATTCTCAGAGAGGGTATTAAAGACATGGAAGGCTGAGAGGTGGATTGACTGGTCTAAGATCAAACATTTTATATCTGAGTTCAGCAGTACACGTGCACGCACGCACGTGCGTAGATCAGAGGACAGCTCTCAGGAGTCAGTTCTCTTCCATCTTTTGGGATCTGGTGTGAACTCCGGTCATCATCGTATTCGCAGCTTGCTCCTCTGCCAGCTGAAACGTCACACCAGCCCCCTAGTTGTATTTTGCTGAGAGGCAATGAATCATGTCAGGGAAGACATTTCCCTGAAGACTTTGTTGTGGTGAGCTGATAAAGCCTTTGTGAGCAGGCCTTCATTTCAGAAATGGCCCAAAAGGAGAGCGGTGTGCTGCTGCTCCCAAAGGCTTGTCATTTGTGTCTCTCTCACAGGCCTGCGTGAAACAGCTGCTCCTGTCACGTTAGCTGAACCCGAAGCTCATTTCATTAAGAGGCACACCTTTTATTGAGTTCTCCCAGCGCGATGAGGAAGGCTCGAGTGGCTGACCAGCTGTGTGCCGTGGCCTCCTGATTGGTTTCCTGTTAGAGAATCAGAGAAGCTGGAACTGCCCTGTCTGTCGGCAGATAGAAATAAAGACAGCTGCTTCTGTCTTCTGTGTAGACCCCTAGTCGTGTCCCCAAGCTCAGAACATGACACTTATACCAGGCATTCCCTTCAACCTGGGCATCACAGCTCAGTCACCTGTGCTACACTTGGAAACGATTTCCAGGCTCCACCTCTGAAGCGCATAGTGGATCTGGGGTGTCTGTTGTTTAAGCTCGCAGGCCTCCAGGTGACTGATGTCCAGCCAGTGTTGGGAAGCAATGCCTGTGGATAGACGGCCAGGCAGTAGGCATTGTCCCGTCTGGAATGGCCTTCCCTTCTGACCCAGATTCGGGCGGGCTGAGGTCCATGACCAAAATTTCCTTTGTAGTTCTGTATGCGGTTTACAGTAATCACAACCTCATAAGAATCAAGTGTTCTCACATCCCAGTGACAGGGTGTCTCTGGATCTTGTGACGAGTAGGGTCATGAGACTACCCAAAATCCAAACAACAGTTCCCAGACAGGTGTGTTTTGTACTGTGGGCCAGTCTAGGAGCTGGGGAGACACTAGGGAAAGGTATGAAGTCAGAATGCAGGATTTTACAGTAGTCTGCAATTTTCAGAGGTGGTCAGAGCCTGTTCTCTGTGCAGAGTTCTAGAAGGTTCTGGAAGCCATGATGTCCTTTACCCCTCCCCCCATCCTTCTCCCCTCCTACTCTAGGGAGCATCCCCTCAGATCTTCGCTTTTCTCTTAAGTGCTGGTGTGGAAGTAACTCATTTCTTGTATACCCACGAAGTAGCAAGTGTCAAGCTAAGTTCTCTGTGAAGACTGTGGTATTCAAATGGGACCGAGGTGACTGTAGCTCAGTGTAGTGTCCTTGCCTAGCATGCACAAGGCCCTGAGTTCAGTCCTAGGCATCACAAATCAGCATCATCCAGTTTTGTTCGGTCTTCCCTGTTTAACAGAGAAGGAAATTGAATCTCAAGATTGAAAGGCTCTTGCCCAAAGGACAACTAGAGTGTTCCTGCTTAAAAGTTCTTCATGGGGATGGAAGCCCCCACAGTGGAGACAAAGACTGAAAGAAGCAGTCACAGTCATCTGAAAGGGTTTTCCAGGATGGAATGGAGTATAAAATTAGGATCATGATTGTTTAGAAGAGAAAGTGAAATTATAGGTCATTCAGTGGCCCCGAATTTTCTGTTCTGCCCTGGGATGAGGGAGGTACCAGTTTCTGCCCTCTTCTTTCCTCTGCCTGCACCCAGCTTGTGTGGTCACCCACAACTGTAATCTCAGCACTCAAAGCTGGTAGCAGGAACATCAGGAATTTGAAGCCGGTCTTGGCTACAGAGTGAGTTTGAAACTAGGCTGGGCAACATGAGATGCAGTCTCAGAACACCAAAAGAAACACCTAGCACCCAAAGTGGTTTCTCACCTGCCAGCTGCAGGATAAACCCACGCAGGGAAACCTTTGCTTTCTATATCCTTTCTGATTTAAACCAGATGGAATTTAGGGGGCCCGTGTTAGGTTGGTAAGGCATTCTCATTATAAGGTACTCTTTATTCTGAGTCTTTGTACACCTTAGGTCGGTGTTTAAACTAAAACTCTGTGGGTAACTTGGTTTTTAAATTGGAATTTGGTATTTTCTAAATTGATGTTTGGTGCTCTTTTGAGAACTTTTTCATGTCAAAGATAAAGTAAATTGACATAGTGTTCATTGATACAGGAAACTAGCCAGCATTGGTTCTTTGAGGGGCAGGTAGATGCTGGGCCCTGAAGATTCAGAGACAAGTGATTTATACCTTTGTCCCCAGAAAACCCCAGTCTAGTCCAGCATTTGGGCCACCATACCCCAGTGGGGTAAATGCTATGATATGTTCAGAATGTATTACGTACCCAGAAGAGGGATGCCTAGTTCCTTCTCTTGCCCTTGGGCAGTCAGACTAGCAAGAAGTCAAAGCCATATGAGAGAGAGGACTGTCTTGTGCAAAAGAGGCTTCAGGTGCAGAAGCCCTGAATGCCTCAGTACCTACTGTTGCCTGGGAGGGATCCATATGTAACTGACCCCGGGGGGATTACGCTGAGGTCATGGGATTCACACTATACTATGGAGTTCATGCCATGTCCCACGGTCCCGGTTTCCTCCTGTTGCCTCCTAGGTGAAATGTGGCAGACAAACGAATCCCACAGTAGGTTAGATGTTATCCCTCCATCCTGAGCCTCCTAGAGATGCCGTCACTCAGTGCAGCGCCAGGGCACACTCCTATCTGTCCTATTAAATGCTTCCTGGCCTTTTCCACTCGGGGTGAGTTCAGATGGGCTCTTGTTTTAGAAGCAGATGAACAGATGACAGAATCATACTAGTTTGAGATGTTTTGTTGGGACCACAGGCAACAGCAATACAAGAGTAGTGGTCCTCATTCCAGTCCTTCCTCTGAAGAAATCACTCGGCCAAGACCAGCAGTGGTGATATGCTTACTCTCCCTGCAGCTTCTATGCCAATAACAGACGTTCACAGCTCTCCCTTCTGTGTACCTACATCTACTGGCCTTTATAGCCCATCTCCCCAAG